AAAAAAAAAAACCCCGGCACAAACCCGACCTCGCCTGAGCCGATTAATTTTCTGGCTGAGCTTTACGGGCAAAGCCGGGGAATAATCTTCCCCCGGAGCCGAGCATCCTTCTCCAGTACCGGCACGTATCCCGTTGCCTCCTCCCAGTGGGGTTTTGGGAGCTACTGGGATGCAGGGGGCGTGGGGATGGGATGGGATGGGATGGGATGGGATGGGATGGGATGGGATGGGATGGGAGGGGATGGGATGGGATGGGATGGGATGGGATGGGATGGGATGGGATGGGATGGGATGGAGGGGTCAGAGGAGGCCACCCGGGAATAATCCCAGTTTAGCGCCAGCAGCAAGAAGGGGGGGATGCTGGGATGATGAGGAGGGCAGGCGGGGTCCATAGGGGTGCCCCCCTTCCCAAAAAATAAATCCCATGGGATGGAGGATCCAGTGCAGCATCATGGGGGGGTCAGGGCACCCCAATACTGAGCGAAAGGGGGGTGTCCGGCTGCTGGAGCCCCCTGGGGAAAGGCGGCGGTCCCCCGGGATGGGGACGGATTTCCAGCCGGAGGTTTTCCCATCTTGAGGGGGGGGGATGGGAGGGAACGGCATTGTCCTGCATCCTCCGGAGCAGCCGGAAAGCCCTTCCCACGGCGGGGAAGGAGGAGAAACGTCCTCCTGGCCCAACCTCCCAGCAATAACACAGGATTGTTGGGTTTTCCCTTGGGAACGGGGAGGTTTTCCAACAATCGGTGGGTTTTAATGGAAAAACGGCACCTGGGGTTGAGTCACGTCCCGTTTTCTTCCCTCTCCGGCCGCGGGCAGGTGTCTCCTCGGCCGTGCTGGAGGTGCACGTGGGGACGAGCTCGGTCTTCTCCGTGGAGGGGCAGCAAGCGGTGCTGCCGGCCTGGTACACCAGCCGCTCCCAGAAGAAGCCCTACGTCACCTGGCTGCTGGATAAGGAAGATGCCGACCCCTTCCAGGTGAGGGGGGCAAGCGGGGAGGTGGCCATGATGGGGTGAAGCTCATGGTGCCCACCATGGGGAGGTGCCCATGATGGGGTGAGGCTCGTGGTGTCCACCATGGGGAGGTGCCCATGATGGGGTGAAGGTCACGGTGCCCATGATGAGATGGTGCCCAAGATGGGGTGAAGCTCATGGTGCCCACCATGGGGAGGTGCCCATGATGGGGTGAAGGCCATGGTGCTCACCATGGGGTGGTGCCCACCATGGTGAGGCAGCCATGATGGGTGAAGCTCATGGTGTCCATGATGAGGTGGTGCCCATGATGGGGTGAAGCTCATGGTGCCCACCGTGGGGAGGTGACCATGATGAGGTGAAGCTCATGATGCCCATGATGGGGAGGTGCCCATGATGAGGCAATGCCCATGATGGGGTCAAGCTCATGGTGCTCACCACGGGGTGGTGCCCATGATGGGGTGAAGCTCATGGTACCACCATGGGGTGGTGCCCACCATGAGGAGATGACCACGATGGAGGGATGCTCATGGTGCCCACAACGGGGAGATGCCCACAATGGGGAGATGCTTGTGGTGCCCATGACAGGGAGATGTCCACCATGGGCACCACATGGGTACCTATGATGGGTAGATACCCATGACGGGGGACATGCCCGTCGTGCCTGCGATGGAGAGGTGCTTGTGGTGCCCATGATGGGGAGGTGCCCATGATAGGGTGAAGCTCCTGGTGCCCATGATGAGGCAGTGCCTGTGATGGGGTGAAGCTCATGGTGCCCACCATGGGGAGATGCTCGTGATGGGGCAGTTGCTCGTGGTGCCCACGGTGGGGAGATGCTCGCGTTCCCGTGCTGTGGAAGCTCAGTTGAGGATGGAGGGGGCTCATGCAGCAACTGCTGCTCCCCAAAATTTGGAATTTGGGGGGGTTTCTTCTCTGCAACACCATCTGGAGGCCACCGAGCGGGTGTTGTCCCCCGTGCAGATCCTGACCTACCTGGATGGGGCGGTGAAGGTGGAGGAGACGGAGCTGAAGTCCCGCGTGGGGTTCCTGTACCCCGTCCTCACCCACAACATCTCAGTCTTCATCAACGCCACGCGGGAGCACGACTCGGGCCAGTACATGTGCACCGTTAACGTGGTGGACGACGTCACCAGCATGGGCAAGAACGTCGGCGTCATCAACCTCACCGTCCTGGGTAAGGCTCCGCCGGTCACCCCGGCTCCCTTCAACCCCCGCCGTGACGTCCCTCGGGATTAACGTCGGTGCCCGCAGTGCTGCCGGCCACCCCCACCTGCCAGCTGCACGGCAACCCCACCGTGGGAGCCAACGTGACGTTGAGCTGCGCCTCCGAGAAGGGGAAACCCTCGCCCATCTACCAGTGGGAGCGGGCGGCCCCCAGCCTGCAGGTCTTCTTCCCCCCCGCCCAGGGTAAGGTGGCACCGGGAGCTGGAAAAATCCCGGGAAGCTTCGGCTGGGGGATGCTTTCGGCTTCGTCCCCTTAACTCTGCCCATTCCTGGCCTCGCTGTGTGAGCAGGCAGGGGAATGTCCCCTTAACTCTGCCCGCTCCCTGCACATGGAGGTGGGGACGCGGGGCGGTGGGGACGCGGGGCGGTGGGGATGCAGGGAGGTGAGGACGCGGGGCGGTGGGGAC